TAAACCAGTTTTATTAAGTAAGGACTTGTGTTGCTAAAGTTTCGTCGGAATGAAGTTACAAAAAGTTAATTAACAAACGGAGACGTAACAATATGTTCAGAAAGCAAATTAGTATAGCACAGTATATTTAGAGTTCTGATTAGCTAATTAAATTAAGAATATGAGGCATATTATTGAAGTACTGACCATGAAGCTTTGTTTATTTTATTCTAGAGTATAAGAGTTCATGTTTTATGAGAAAATATTTTAATTAAAAACAGTTTCTTTTTCTCTACCAAAACAAAAAGGGAACTACAAAGTATTATCTATTATTATTTTTTTTTAATTTAAAATTTGGCTACATCTGATGATAGTGCTTGTTTTCAGTTCTAAAAATATATCTTATTGAAGTCTTTAATTCTCATTTCTTAAAGTATAAGTTATTTATACCAAAAGGATGGCTTAATGCTACATTTCTATGATTAGACTGAACTTCAAAGTAACCCAATTCAAGAACATTAGGCTTCAGTACATATTTTCTAGAATGACATATTTATATTGATATGTACTTTAAAGCAAATTTTACGACATTTTGATATGCCTTCTTAAAAGGCTCTACTGAATTACATTTCTTTAACATTAAAACTTTTTATTTCAATTAGTTTTAAGATTTCATTACAGATACTTAAAAAAACATTAAGTTATTATAATATGTGGAACCATTTGGGAATATAAAAAATCTAACTGTTTAGAATTAAAAATCAACAAAAATTTCCAAACTTGGAGCATGTTAACTTAATGACTTACAAGTTAGCAGCTGCAGGTAAGGCTAACTTCAACCTGACAACAAGGTTTTAAAATCATGAGTATTGATGCTTATTGGTGTTGTAAGTAAATAAATATGTATACGTATTACTCATAAAATTATATTTATATCTGTATGCAATGATAGTTTTAACACTTATGTTTAGTTTTTGTTAACTAATTTAGTATTAATAAAAATGATCACTTAAATTATTTATCTGAGGTAGCTTGTTTTGAAAGGGTATTAAATAGTTTAAGACAGCTTATTATTATTAACTACCTGATCCAATGAGCGGAATAAAAGAATATTTTTAACTGCTTCAGCCAGCTGTTTTCTCTGTTCATCTGACTTAGGATAGATAACCTGAAACCAGAAACAAAACATCACAATTAATTTTAACACTGCTAAGTGTCAGTTGAAGTTTCAAATAGCATGAGACTTTAAAAAAAATTGAGCTTTCATATTACGTCACAAGAACATTTGCTCCAAGCAAACATGCTGCATTAATTAAAAACTAAGAAAAAATTAATAAAGCAAGTAGATATGACTACTGAATAATACAGGATATAAATCCATGCAACTTAAGTATGTGACACAGAGTTTGGACAATGTTGCCTCTGTCTGATATCATGAATCAAAAGTATATGATAACCCTGGGAAGAGTGGTTGATCACACACACACTGAAATAATATCAGAAACAACTGAACAGTGCTTAATATTCATAGAAAGGAAAACAAATTAATCAAATGAAATAAACATAAGGCTGATACAGTATCCACTTAAATATCCTTCTATCAAATGTTTATACACTGTTTATAGCTTATAAAAAATGTGTGACAATTCATGCATTGAAGAATAAAAATCAAAATATAATACACAGCAAAAGTTGCCAATACATAAGAATCCACCTTTCACAGTACATGACAAAAATAAACAGATGTCTCAAAGAGTCTCTCTCATAAGTAAGAGTTACCAAATAAACATTTCAATAAGTCAGGACTTTTGATTAAACATATTCTCTAGACTAATCAAAAATTACATTTAATATTTTCAAGCATTATCCACACAGTTCATCTTATAGTTTTTCAGTGCTTTTTTAATTCTTTTACCTTATTATTGTCATCATCCTCATCTTCTTCAGGGTCATAGTGTTCAGCAAAAACTGGAGTCATCAAAAAATTAATGTCAGTTTTTATGTCACGAGTTAAAATGTTTTAATGGATTAATATTTTTGGCGTATACATTAAAGAATAGCTGCAATATTTATCCCACAAAAGATTATTCTCTGCTGTAAAAATCATAATCCATATATATATCTTCATTTGTGATAAAACATTAATAAGTACAAAAACACACTGTTTCCAAAGTAGATTCATCTGCATTTTTTTTTATCTTTTTTTAACATTATTAATATTCTGACACTGTAAAAATACCACCATTAACATAATTATTATAAGAACTGGCAAAATTATTATATTAATGGTATAGGGGTAACAGACAGTACCATTCCAAACTAAACTTGCTTGAATAGTGAAAATGTAATTATAATTCCAATTCAAGTGTAATGAAGGAAAGCCAACATTACAAGAGCACTTGTCTATTGAACATTTTTAGTCACACATATGTTGAATTCATTATAAACTATTGGCAATTAATAATTAACTTCATTTTACACTTATTCTGATACATTTAATACAACAGATGCTTTTTTTTCTAAGCTAACATTAACACTGATAATCTTATTTTTTAATCATATATGATTATTTCTTAATTTGAATCAAACCTTACTAACCCTGTCATAATCTGTAGAATTATTACTGCATTATTGTTGAAGAATTAAAACCAACTTAATATTAGCCAAAGAACAAGTTTCTTTAAAAGTTCAATAACAGATTATCAAATAGCATATCTGACTTCATGTAACTGCTTGAAAGCTTCGTTAAGTGGACTACAATGTGTCAGTAAAACAAATTTTGTCTCATCAACTTGATTAAATATTGAAAAAGTAAAGTGAGTCTAGGTGTCAAATATGGTTTCAAAGTAAACTCTAAGTTGAATGAAACTATTAGTTCATATGTTCATAAATAAGTACTAACTTTATTACTGATCTTAAATGTAATGTGTTCTCTACTGAAGACAGATAGATCAAAGATTACTGAGACAAAATTCTGGCTAGTTGTTTGCCTAGATAGGAGGAGGGGGATTAACAGACAAAAGAATCATAAAATAAATCTGATAAGTTAATACAGAAAATTAAATATTTTATATAAAATGTATTGACAAAAGAATTGATTTTATTTAATAATATATATATATTTCCTACTCACCTGACTTTCTCCTAGTAAATCTGTTTAGAGGCTCTTGAAAGATATGAAATAAGATTTATCAGTTTAGTGATAATTAGTTGATCACATACAGTGTAACTAACATTTCATTACACAACTTTTTTATATTGTTAGCTTAACTATATTAAAAACAATATGATAGCAAATAACAAATATATATATATATAAATACACACACACACACACACTTATAACTACTAGTATTTAAGATTCCTATACACATATCATCTACATTATTTTCAATTTTTCCTTGGTAAAACTTAGTGATCATAACAACATAAATTTTTGTCCCATGCAATTAAGATAAAAAAATTGCATGTTTTTGGATCTTTTACTGTTAACATGACATTTTTCACAAAACTATCAGAAGTTAAACATGTCTACAGCAGGAACTATTCTGGTCCACAGTTTTTTATAACACTACTAGCACCTAACTCTAATAGGAAAGTTTCTGATTTTACTTTCGTAAGATAACTTTAACTCTGCACAAAATAACACAATAACTGTAAAAACATACTGATATGTTTCCAAAAAATTAAAGAAACTATGGGTGACTATAGTTAATAAGGAAATTTGAATCATATTTCAATGAATTCAACTTTTGGCAAATGATTTAATTTGATCACCTATATTATATATGCTTCTTAGTCTTAACCCATTAACTGCGGATGACGGATATTTCCGTCACTGAAGTTCTACGGCTCAGCTGCGAATGACGGAAATATCCATCAATTGCACATATCTAACTATAACTCTATGCGAATGATGATAATTACTGTTTTATTGTGATTGATGACAACTCAGTTCTATTTGTAAGTCAGAAAACGGCAACTGAGCTGCTCCTGCAGATGTTAAGGGGTTAGTCCCCTTATGTGTAACAGACTATAAAGCAATATGAATAAAGACTATCTCTAAAAATTTATGAACAATACTTAACCTACATAGGCCTAAACTTTGATTTGTATATAACTATTTTATCATTAATTTTAGTACGTTTTGTTTTACTTCTCATGACTGTGGAATATTGCAAAATCAAACCATGAACTATAACATTATATAGGTGTTAATGGAAATAACACACTTTGTACTATAACTATATCATGCTAATTACTATGTTTAAAACTATATATATATATTCTAACAAATTATTTACATATATATCATTCTGACAACTATTGTGTTTGTTGTATCCCAGTAAGCCTGATGAGCCCTTGTATTAAGCAAAAAAACATGTTTGACAATGGATATGGTGTAGTTGAAATACTATTACACACTTTTTATCAGAAAAATCATAAAGGACTGAATAAAGTATGTAGCATTAAAAAATAAAAATACAACACACCTAATGGTAATAATATTGTCTTATGACAATTATAACTGACTATATATATCTTAAATAAACAAACTAATAACTTTATTTTATATAGTGCTCTCTCTATAATTGAAAAAAGTTTTAGAGCAAAGCCATGTTAGGTTATCTGCTGTGTCCACTACAGAGAATTGAACTCCAGATTTTAGTATCGTAAGTCCGTAGATTTACTGCTGTCCGATCAAAGGACAACTGAAAGAAGATGTACCATCATATTCAAGATACAGTCATAGAACTCAAATTTATATAATGTCATTTTTACCAGTATTTTGGATTTTTTTTTCCTTGACAAGTTCAAAATATGCTTTAGTTTCATTCTTTTGTTATACAGTTATTTGTTCAAGAAGTGGATTAAGCTTTAATGGACAAAATCCTCTCTGGATAATGTTGTTTATTATGTCTTTCTGCCAGATTCATGTTGAAGAGTTTTAATCAAGCTATACGAACAGAATTTCCTAAACTTTTAAAGTAAGTTTATCAAATACTCTTGATACACACTAACCCACTAGTAAATCTTACTTAAAATATTACATCATTCATATAGTTAGGATTAAACTGTTATGTTATGAAAGTTCAATTTGACTAGAAATATTTATATTAACAATAAGCAAGCATTGTAACTAACTCTTTCATAAGGCAAAATGAATATATATTTATTCAGGTAAATTTTTAAAACTTTAGTATAAGTTGTCTGTGCTTACCTATATATTATATGTGAACAGGATGCACGCAGCTGTGGATAGCATTAATTCCTGCCTCTGACTCTATTTGTAAGTGGCCAGCACAGTAGATCAGTGAATAATACCTTTGTCTTAATGTTTGGCATACTGGACATATGCAGACACACAGGAAAGTCTACTCCCTCCCCCCTTTTTTTTCATGATAAAATTAATCTCTTGAGATGAGCAATAAGGTCTTTTGGAAATAATGACAGAGTTTGAACTAGAATACAGTTCCAAGTGTGATGATTGAAATATTACAATATTTTACCCTTCTTTAACTAGTGAAGAATATATCTTTATTTCGATATACATGTACTCAGTAATTTTCTTAAATTTCCATGAAGGTGTTCTGCATGCAGTTACAACATTCCAATTGAGAGAAGGTTGCAAACTTGAATGAATCATTTATCTTATAGAAGGGTTATATAAAGCTTATACTTGCTTGGTTGTGTTTCTGTGTGATGCTCTCGTACAGTGAAACTCATATTCATCCTGCAGAATTGTACAGACTTTTACAAGTTAGTACAAACTGAGGATTTATCTCATTTTTTATGTGTAATAAGAATGATCACAGACGTATGCAATCTAAGGATTGTGGGATATGACAAAAGCAATTTGGTATGACTTAAAGTGGGGTACCTTCTTGGTTCTTGATTTTATCACTGTTTTGTGTAGATGTGAGAAATCCTGCTCCATCAGCCTGTCGAAATGTTACAATAATTTAAGAGACTGGCTATTTCTATGTGAGTTGTTTAAAAACAAAGATTGCTGTTTTTTATTCTGTCACTTCTGTTTGTTCGTTTTTCCTTTGCTGACTGTGTTCCAAATGATTCTCTGCTGTATTGTGGACATTAGTAACAATCTTTAGGAAGTTACTTTGTCTGAATACTGAATAAGTAAAGTTAGTACTTGGTGAAAGCTTTCATTATCTTTCTACAATATATTTTGCTCTTCTAGTGTTTGTCAGTATAGTTGTTTTCTAAGTTGCTGTGTTATATCTAGGAAACAGACAGTAACACTTAAAACAGTAAATGCCACATATTATTTTTTAGTTGTCAATAAAATGTTTCCTTTATTACAAAACCATTACAAAACATACCAGTTTCTTTCTTATTTCTTTTGGTCAAGTTTGGCTAATTGAAACTCTACAAACAATTCTAAGAACCTCTTTTATTATGGTATTGTTACTACTGGCCAAGTGTACTACAAAATATTTTATTGTTACATGAGAGCTATCACTAAAATTTGATGTCTGAAAGAGATGTAAGTACATATTTCTGAATATAGAAATGCTGTTAATCAACTTTATGTAGTATTTTTAACAGAGACAAAAGTTATATTATGTAAACATTTTATTTCAGCATAGAATACATATATATATATTTTTACACAAACAAATTCCATATACACAGGTATGGACTGTTATCAAAGATATTAAAGTTGCTAGCAACACATGTACAAAGGACCATTTGGCCCTTCAAAGCTGATCCTACACATTCAACCCTATGAAAAACAAAAGTAAAAATTAAAACCCACACCATATTGTTCAAGAAGTAATCATTATCCCTCTTATACTCTAGCTTTTAAAAGTTTTAAGAGCAAATAAGAGATGTTTAGTTATCTCCATAAGATAACCCTTACGTTCTCAGAAACATCCTTCCCTGAACCTTTTCTAAAGAGTTATCCTTTCTTAGATAAATAAAACTAAAACTATCCACAATATTCTAAATGAAGCCTAACAAGCAGTAGTGAGCAATACTTTTATTTTACTCAACAATACTGATACCAACTCTAGTATCCCAATACTCAATACTGTAGCAATACCAATAGAAAAAAAACCCAGAAGAACAATAATAAAGAAAACTAGGAGCTCCTGTTATTTGTGACACTTTTACTCACATGAATCTTTTGCACCATATTCTATTCTGATAAATTATAAACCGTAGATTTGTTAGAATTAGTTTCTATTTACTTGCCCAAATCACTAAATAATCCAAATCTTTTTGTAAAGCAGTAGCATCATCTTCACAACCAGCAATACCCAAAACTTCAATGTCAACAGTAAATTGAAATAAGCTATTGACCATTTCTTCATTTATGTCACTGATGTAAAACAAAAAAAAAGCAAGGATCGTAACAATGAGCCCTGAGGTACCACACTCCTGATATAACTCCAGTTTGACTAAACTCCATTTCGAACAACCTTCTTTTTTCTTTCATGTAGCCATTTTTCTATCCAATGAGCCAACCCATTCCTCACACCTAGATATAACTTTTTTTAACAAGCCTTTTATGTGGCACCTTGTCAAATGCTTTCTGAAAATCCAAATACTCCACACACATACCCTTATTTACTTAAACAGTAACCTCTTCAAAGAATGTCAACAGATAGGTAAGGCAAGATTTTCCTCTAGTGAAACTATGTTGACTATTCAACAAAACTTTAAACCTTGTTAAATGATTTTGCAAAGCATTTTATATCAGACTTTCCAAAATTTTTCACATAAAATGTTGTAAACAGTTCCTGCAAAAATTGTGTGTCAGAAACTTCTTCATGATTACCCAAGAAATACTTGAAAATGTTAGTTATCTTGCAAAAAAAAAGGCCACATTTCAAATAGTCACTGATTTTCAATAAGTACAGGGGATACTGACAAATACTGTAAGTATCAAATTAATACTAAAGACAAATACTTAATAAGTATATAACTGCCATTTAATGTCTGCAAAGAGGTCTTGATGATGATTAGACAAATATTTAAGCAAATCTGATGTATCGTCTCCATTTGCTAGAATTTCTTTAAAACATATTTAGCATTTTGGCTTTCCATCAATAGTGTAGCTGTCTTTATTGGTCAAAACCCAAAACAATCCCAAATAAAACTTGTTATATGACTTTTTTTTTTTTACAAGTATTGTGCTATTTTTCTCCTTAGTATGGGCCACGATTAATGCTTCTCTTTGTCACACCGTGCAAAGAATCACGTTCATGGCAGTATCATTTCTACAGCAGTAATATGGCTCCCCAAAGTGCACAATACTGGAAATGTAACATTTTGGTATGATAGTATACTGTTGGTACTGGTACCATTACCCATCACTATTAACTAGTGATTATTACTACTAGCATCAGAGCACTGTTTTCATGGCTTAAGTGACATAGTACCAACTATTATGACAATAAGAGGGTTCCCCTCTATATTAAATGTATGATCTAAATTATGATACTGCATTATCTTGCACTTAATATAATTAAAGATTATTTGTCAAATATATTTTATAACTTACCAAATGATCAAAATCATTCTGTATTACTTCAACATCCTCAATACACTTAGAAATACTGAAAAGTTTAATGTCATCAGCAAGCTTCACTGATTTGCTAATTATGCTCCTTTTGGTATCATTAATGTAAATAAAAAGAAGCAAAAGCCAAAGCATTAACCCTTGAGGCACTTCACTAGTAATAAAGGGTACACTTCAAATGGATTCCATTAATAACAACTTGTTGCTTTCTCTCGCCCAGTCATTCTACAATCCATTTAACAAGTCTTTCCCCAATCCCTATCAATGCCATTTTTAGCTAATCTTCTGTGTGCCGTCTAACCAAAATCTAAGTTCATGAAGTCTACTACCTTCCCATCATTTAGAAAATACGTACCATCTGCAAAAATAAGTTAACATTAGTAAGGAAAGATTTCATGTTGACTCTCTTTTATATCACACGTCACTAAATGATTTGTCAAAGCTTCTTCGATAGAGATTCTCTGAAATTATTCCTAGTACAAACGTACAGGGTGGTCCAAATTATCTTTCCTATTTTAAAATTTAATAATTAACCAAGTAAAGAAATACAACCACACAATTTTCAATATCTCAAATAGTTTTTATTAGCATGTTTTGTTTTTTTTTCCTTCTAGTGAGTAGTGTTATCCCATAAAGTGGAAACCATGCAAGAAAAGGCTCGATGCATTGCTTGGCTTGCAGAAACCAAGTCACTAACTGTGGTGCAGCATAATTACAGACACCAATACAGGAAAGAACAACCACTAACACCAACTATCTGGGAGTGGATGATGAAGCTCTTAGAGCAGCAGTGTCCAACACAGTCACCACTCGCCACATTTGGCAAAACAGCTACTGACCTGTGGCAAATTGGTGCTTTACTTCAACCACATATTTTTTTTTCTTAAATATAATTTTAATAAAATGCATTTATACATGTATTAGTTTAAAAAAGTGTCCACTTTTTAAATTATTTTGAGGATAAAATACTAGAGAAACCTTACTGCAAAGATTTAGGAATATATATATATCTCAACTGACTTAACACAGACAAAATGTTCTGTAGTTGTAAACAAAGCTTACCAAAGATGCAAGCAATTTTACAAAACTTTTGCATGTAAGGACATCACATTTTGTATTTTTGTGTATCAAACTTATATTCGCCCAATACTTGAGTTAAATACACCACTCTGATGTCCTCATCTTGTTCGAGATATATTGTGGTTACGAGATACTTTTATTTAAGCCATTTTCAAATACAAATTATACGTATTAGTACTGTTTATAACCAACAAAGCACAACATTTCAAGTTTATTCACCGACAAGAAAATGACTGCTTGTTATTCACATTTCTGAGGTAGCATAACCAGTTGACCTTGGAATATTTAAACAATGTTGAGACACTCTGAACCAACAAATCAAACAGCCGCACACAAACACACTACAACACTTATTTTATTTTAGTCATTGTTGCCAAACATTGTCTAAATACAGGTATTCCAAAACTGTTTTCAATTTTGGGTTCAATGTGGCTTTGCAAATCAACTTTATCTACGGTAAAAATGGTGAAATCAAAATATTGGTTGCAAGATATTGGAGACGGAGTTGATATGTAGTCTAACTGATTTTATGCCTGATTTCTCTGCATTACTTAATGAAAAGATATGTCAGATTTCTTAGTAATTCTATCAATAATTAATTGAAAACATTATTGTGTATTTTTGTTCCCCTCTACATCTATAAAAACACAATTAATTTATTTTTGTCATAAGGTGAAAATGTTAAGACATTCTCCACAATTTTGGCAATTATGAAAAAACCTGTTGGACACCACTGTTTTAGAGACAGGCAGTGTGTTACAGCAACCAGGAGAGCCAGAAAATGTCAGTGATGACATATCAAACATGTATGTGAATCCTTTCAGCGTAACACACAAAAATTGCTTCAAAAATATCCCTGCTCCATGTTATTCCCACTTGTTTGCCTACAAACTTCAGTTGGTACAGGCACTGCAACCAGATGACAGAACCAAAGTGCAAGACATTTGCCGAGAACCTCCTTGACCATATAGATGAAGACAACACATTTCTAGCTCACTTGGTGTTTAGTGATGAGGCTACATTTCATACCTCAGGTAAAGTGAATCATCATAATGTCTGCATCTGGGGCTAGGAAAACCACTATGACACGATTGAAATTGTGCATGATAGCCCAAAGGTGAATGTGTGGTGCAGTCACATGAGTGACAGGATTATTGGTCCTTTATTTTTTTTTCTAAGAGAGCCACTAATGTTGCACATGTAAAAGGCCTACTGACATGTCAATAAAAACTGTTTGAGTTGGGCTACAAGATGTTGAAAACTACATGGTTGTATTTCCTTAGTTATTTAATTATTAAATGTTGAAAATAGGAAATAAAATTTTGGGGCACCCTGTATAATTTTCAGGGAAAATAGTGTAACCCCCTTTTAAAAATAGTAGTAATGTTAGCAGTTCTAATCCTCAGATACCTACCCACTAGCTGTTCACCTACAAATATGGAAAAGAGAGAGGATCGATGAAGCCCCCACGAAAGTCATGTAACAAAAATTATATAAACCAAATAATAAAATCCTAGTCACATTCTTAAATATAATTATGATCTCTTTCCCTAAAATGTACTTAATAACATTACTTATTATTATTATATGGCTAAAAACAAAACTTAAAAATTGGGACATCATAATTAAGGGTTGATGACATTGCCCATCCTAAAATTCCTAGTACAGCAAAGGTAATCATTCTTCCAAATTTAAAAGTGGCTGAAAGGTACAGGAACAATTTTGAGATTTTAAAAATTTTAGGGTTATAGAAAAAGAGAATAAAAAAAAAGGAAAAAAGAAATGGAAAAGAAAAAAGGAAAATACAGAAAATGAAATTATACACTGGCTACTGGGTTTTGTTGCTGAAGCCATACAATTACAGTGCTATTACCAAACAGTCAGATATGGTGAAATATTATGGAAAAATCTGAGAAGCCTTGATTAACCATAAAGGAAAATTTTATAAAATATTTACCTCTATACTACATCAAACTGTTTTTCCATTATTGTAGCATTGTCTTTAACATCTAATACTGTGTGGTAATCTAAGAATAAAACTAGAACAACAATTACCCGACCTTTGTAATAATAGAAATTTGAGGACCTAGTATGTGGAAGGATAGGTGTAACAACTTATTGTAGGTGGACTGAAAGATAGAAGACTTGGTGTGAAGTTGAAGCAAAAATAAAACACTTATTAATCAAAACAAACAGATGAAGCAGAATATAGACTACTCATCAGGTGAAAGGGACTGTTGTACAGTAATATATTAAATTGAAAAGTAAAATGAAAAAGGTGAATAAGAATGGACTTCACTGGAAACAAAAATCATCTAAGCATAGAAGAGACAAAGACAAGAGTATGTAGTAAATTTTAACTCTTAAGATCAGAAACAAACCTGTTCGAAAACATCAAAACTGCTTTTACACTCCACCTTTTCTCTGTATCTGACCAATCAAAAAATCAGTTCACAAGAATAACAAGTAATTTTGGTCCATGTGAAAGTGGTAGAGCAGTCTCACATCAGGAAAAGGAGATAGCCCATGATGAAGCCCTGCTTACGAAAGTAACTCCTAAGGCTAAATATTGTTCATGACCTAGACCAGATTTATTTTATTGGAATTTTGAAAAAAAATAAAGCTTTTGTGATATGAAATATATGTACTATAGAAAACTGACATGTGTATTTTCACACTGCAGCTGCATGCATAATAAGAATTACTAGCTACTCTTATTTCTACAAGAGTCCAAATGAGAAGATAAACAATTTGTATTAAAAGTTTTTCACACATTTCAATTCAAATAAATGCAGAAGCTACGTAACCTATATCTTTACATTGGCAAGTTCATACTTGGTCTCTGGGCAATTTCAGCCTGACAGTAAGGACATTTTGACTGGTGAAGGGCACACTGGTTACATAAGTCATAGTGGTTACAAGGTAACAGTGTTACACTATGGTTCTGGTTTTCATATACCATACACTTTGCTGCAGTTTTATGATAAATCTCCTTATCTAATCTGTCTAACTCATTTCTAAGCTGGTCCTTTATTTGTTTATGTTCTCCAAGAGAGACAGTTTCTAACTCTGATATTCCAGGTAAAGGTTGTAATAATGAACCACAAATTAAATTTTCTACTTGCTTTTGGAGTAAATCAATCTTAGCTAATGGCTCATCTCTTTGTTGTTCTCATAAGTTTTCTTTTTCAATTGCATCTTTGGCTTTTCTCTTCCATGCTTCACATTCCTGGATAGTTCCGATGAACTCCATTCATAATTGATTATAATCTTCTTCCATCGTGGCTAATTTGGTTCCACTTGAAACATGTTCTTCTTGTAAGCTATGAACTTCTGTGAGATTAGGACCACCAGATTTAGCTGAATTAAATGTAAACATGTCTGGTAACAGAGGGGAAACTGGAGACATGTTCTGTGAAGCAGAATATTCATATATTCCAGGGCCAAGGAAATGACTATAATTTGCATTTCCATAAGAACTTGCATGGCTATAGAAAGAAGTAGCAGCCTTATCTAAAAAATGTTCAGGTCTTGAACCAACTACTCCTGAAGAAGTAAGAAATGGAGTTCCTCCCATTGAGAGACTGTGAGAGAGAGATCCTAGAGGGGATGTGACAGGTGACAAGTTACTTAATCTTCTTTGATCATGCACACTTTCATTTCCAGGAATGCTCACTAGGGCAGAACTACTTAAAATTACAGAGCTAGCCAGCCCAGCTGATACTGAAGAATTTAATGGATTCACTTCACACTCTAGTTCTTTATCTATAGAAGCTTCAACATTTATTTCATCTAGGTTCAAGTCATCCAAAGCATTTTCTAATACAGACTCAACTGTGTCTACTCCTTCAGAATAAAATTCTGATGGGAAAGAGAAACCTTGTGGTAAGGAAGATGATGTGGTTAGTAAAACAGCATGTGGCTGAAATCCATATGCTAAACAGAGACTGTGTTTGCAACAAACTTTTTGAATAAGGTCTAAAGATGGATCATTATCAAGAGCTTTAAGTTGTATTCTAAGGGTTACCTCTTTGTCTTCTATTTCAGATCCAGGAGCTTTCGGGTATGAACTTAAGCATTCTCCAGAGTTATTAGTTGATGAACTATATGACCAAGGTCGAGCTATGGGTGCTGGCAGTGTGCTACTGGCCGTGAAGGTTGTACACTCTATGGACGACTGCTTTCCTGGCATTTCAATTGAAGTACTTGACACAGTTTCTTGTGAAGATCCGTCTATTTGATTAATATGTACACCAGTCTTTTGGTGTTGTGAGTTTTCTTTTTTACTAGCTGTTACTGTTGAATGGGACTGAGATGAAGTAGCCGTTGAGTTTGGCGATAAAACATTTGACAAAATGGTTGCCAAATTAGCAGTATTTTCTGGAACTATATCACGTATTGCAGACATTTCCTTGTCAACATGAGCAACTGCAGAGAAAGGGCCACGAGGGCGGTACCCTGTCTGCTGAATATTATTACATTTTGTTTATTTATGCCATCCAGAACATTTTAGATATTTTAGGGTTTATTTGATTAAAAATATCATTACGTTTTGTTGACTAATGTCATTTAGAACGTTTTAGATATTTTAAGGCTTATTTAATTAAGATACGCCCTCTAGCTAATATCTATATTGAAACAATGAAAATATAGCCTACTACACAATGCATTTTATCAGCTCTCTCTAGCCAACATTTAAATTAATTACAAGAGTAAAAATATAGCTTATAAAATATTTCCATATATTTCAAAAATATACTATGCGATGATTGTTTTTCATAAGGATTTTACTCTATGCACTGTTTTGATAATATGCGAGTCGCCGTGAACAATAAAAATAATGATCTCACTAGTTTTGCCAATATTTTAGGACAAGGTTCAGAAGAAATCCGGTCTGTGATCTCGAAAGAAATAATTCATCAAAAAAGTAATATTTCCGCGACATTTAAGCAGATCAATAAAAATGTTACTTAAATGCGTATTGCTCTTATTGTAGGTCATCGCTGCTGCCGGATTTCGGCACAAAGCTATTACAAAAGATGATCGATGTCAAGAAAAACTTAATTACGCTTCCTGTTGCATGAAAGGACACGTTTTCTTTTTTCCGGAAGCAATAGTGCTTTTGGAGAACAGTGAAGAAAAGTATTCATTAATACGTTATGTCAAAAACGAGTCAGTTACGTTCAATGACAGTTAAAGGCTTAACCGTAAAACTTTAGATAAATCTAGACTCATTCGATTCTGCTCAAAACTATATTCGATCTATCCTTAAACAACACTTAGAAATTAGAAGTAATAATTAACTGCTACAAAGTTTCAATCGCAAAAAGTCTATATTTTAATTTAAAATGATATAAAACGTGCATTACTTTAAATATTTGAGCAAGTCTGTTAATTATTTCATTAAGCTTTATGATGTTGTGTATGTGTGATGCCAAATAACAACTATGATCACAATAGTACATACAATTTAAAGTAATAACGAGATTTGAAACTTACAACGAAAAACTTTTAACTAATTATAAAATTGGATATAGTCGCTGTTTTTGATATTTCACGAGGGTTGACCAGCTTAGGTGATCTAAATTATACCGAAATCTACACACAAGAAAACACATGGGTCCCCCAGGGGCCCTAAGGATACATACAAGGCTTGGTGACAATTGGCCCAGCAGATGTGATTTTTTTTTTTTTATACCTCAAGGTGCACTTAGCCAACAAATATATTAAGTACCATAATAATAAAAGGTTAAAAAATACGTATGCAGAGTTAGTTTGTTGTTGAGACCAAAGCAACACAATGAGCTATCTGTTTATGCCCACCACGGGTATCGAAACCCGATTTTAGCTTTATAAGCCTTCAGGCTTACTGCTGAGCCTTTGGGTAGGCGGGGAACACGCAGAGTTTAAGTCAAAGTCAACCATAAGAAAAGAGCCTGACGGAGTTATATGATTTTGTAATGATTTGTTTGTTTGTTTTGGAATTTCGCGCAAAGCTACGATTTTGTAATGAATAAACATATCTGTTTCTCAATTAAACAACGTAGGGTAACATTTAAGATCTGACTTTAATAACAGTTGGTTTTACTAGTTTCCAAATAAAAACTGAAGATTAAATCGCTTCAGGCAACTGACTGACTATTACTGAGACGATTCTGAAGTAAAAGCTTCGCTTGAAATTATATTCTCATTTCAAACACTTCGTATGTTATGGGAAGTAATCTAGCTCAGCATGTGTATTGTCAGGCTCGAGAGCGGATGCCATCCACCTAACATTTTTAGAAAAAACGCCAATTTTCATACCCTTATTTGGAGTGATCTGTGTTCGTTGGTTTTCTATATATTTTTGCGATTGGTTTTCTCTTGTCTTTTAGCATCATAATATCAAAATTATAATTATGATTATAAATTTTCACTTCATTTGTGAACTGGACAGTAAAAGGATGCTAGTTGCTAAAATGATCACAGAACATTCTCATAGAATTCGAATCATAGTTTCGAATAGCAAATACATGTTGTCACGTATTGCTACCAAAAGGCAGGATTCAAAAGAGATATGGCAATAGCCATAACAGGATGACTGACATGCAAGAAGACCTCATAAACAGTATATTTTTTGGGATTGGGCAAAACCATTTTGATCACAAATCCAAGTACAAATTTTATATTCTCGTGACAACAATTTCAGAGAACGTTTTCTTCTCTGTCAGAACAGAGGAAACTAACAAACATAACAAAATGTTTAGGGACAACAAAGGACTTATTGGTCCATCTAGGATGTTCCATCCTCTAAACTAAACAAAAACTATCAGAAAAAACTAAAAACCAGCTCTTTTTTTATCATTCGTATAGTTATCAAGCTTTCCCTTAAACTGACTTAAATTTACTGCCTCCCACAACATCCGAAGGCAACCCATTCCAGAGGTAAACCACCCTGTTGGAAAAATAAAACTGTCTTAACTGAAGATGACTCCTACCTTGCCAAAATATATATATTTGTGGCCCCTAGTCCAACTATTCTCATTGTTAAATATGTAAAAAGGATGATGCATCAACACTTTCAATTCAATTAACTATATTAAACACCTCAATCAGATCCTCTTTAGTTCTCCATTTCTCAAGATAAAACAATTTCAGAGATCTTAACCTCTCTTTGTATGATGACCCATCCATCCCAGGCACCATTCTAGTAGCCCTCCTCTGAACCCTTTCCAACAATTCCATGTCCTTCCTAAGCTAAGGAGCCCAAGCCTGGATACACTATTCCTAACTAATGACCTATACAATGCCATTATAATCACTTTAGATGTGTATTCAATATTTTTGTAGATACAGTCTAAAATCCTATTTGTCCTACCACTAGCAACGGCATACTGCTTGGATGGCTTAAGAGACCGACCAACCACTGCACCAAGATACCTCTCTTTCATAACATTGTTAAGGTTATTCTCATCCAAATCATACTTATAATTCAAATTATGATAACCCACATGCATTATTTTGAACTTATTATAATAAAAAACATCAACTATTTATTTGCCCAACTCACTAAGTGATTTAAATCCTTTTGTAAAGCATCAGAATCCTCATTACAGCCACCAACACCCAATACCGTAATATCATTAGAAAATTTAAGTAATTTATTGGCCATTTTTTCATATATATCATTGATGTAAATTAAAGATATCAAAGATTCTATTTCTGAGCCCTGAGGTACCCCACTTCTGACATTAATCCAGTTTGACTGAATTCCACTTACAACAACCCCCTGATTTCTTCCATCCAGCCACTTTTCTATCCAATTAGCTAATTTATCTCCCATACCTAAAATGTTTTTACAAGCCTTTTTTGTGGCACCTTGTCAAATGCTTTCTGAAAATCCAGATACACCCTCACCCTCATCTACATAAGCAGTAACCTTTTCAAAGAATGTCAATGGATTTGTAAGACATGATTTTCCATTAGTGAAACCATGATGACTATCCAATAAAATTCTAAACTTTGTTATATGACTTTGCTAAAGCATCTTTTATAAGACTTTCCAAATATTTTCCCACAACTCATGTAAGATTAATAGGCCTATAATTACTGGGACAATTTTTATCACATCCCTTACAAAGCAGTAATTTTAGCTAACTCCCAATCCTCTGGCACCTGCCTACCATTCAATGACTTACAAAAATAGTAGCAAGTGGCTCACATATCCAATTCTTAACTTCCTTCAAAACTAAACATAGGTGTACAACCAATTACCTAGTTGGTTATCAATAGGGCCAAAGCTACAAGTATTAAAAGTAATTACAGATCGACAACTTTATAGATGATCCAACACAGAGCCAAAACATGGTTCAGCTTCTACTGTAGTGTCGTTTACAAGAAATCAAGTAGCACCTGCTCAAGTAAACGACTGTTTTCTGATAATATTGCTTTGTAGACACGTGACAACAGTCTAAACATATTTACATGTTTCGTAAGTTTGAGTAGTGCAGCAAAGTTCAGTCCAATACATTTAGTGTAGCAAGTTACTATTGTGGTTTCAGAAGAGATGTGGTAATAATTGTTTTTGTAGATATCCATAAAGATTTGGCAAACAGTAGGAGAAAGAGGAGAGCCAATTAGCATACCGTCTATCATGCTGTAAAATTCATCCTTCTAAGTAATATTAATCTCTTATCAGCTTCAATTCTGGTTAGTCCAGTCAGCCTACGCAAAAACATACCTCAACATCAAACAAATTACAACAGAAACAATGCTTTGATTTATTGTTAGGGACGTGTATTGCGAAGTTACAAAAGAAAATCTAGAAAACTCTAAACGGGGGAAATGCATAAAATTTTCATTTTACTTATTAACATATCTGATGAAAATAGAACAACTTGATTTGATATATGCAATCATATACTCTCATTATACACTCTTTCCGTTGATATATGATTAAAAATACCCAAATAGATAATGTATAATAGTTAATAAGATGAACCCAATTAAATGCGTTTTAACTGAAGCCCAAATTAATTATTATTCACCTCTTTAACTTATATATATTACCCCACCCATCAAAAGAAAATCTATAACAATATTCTTATAAATGACAGCCACATCTAGAAAACGAGTATACAAAATGAGACTTAACACACACATCTTTCTATAAAAATTTGCTATATCTATTCACCAACGTTGTATTACTTGAATTAATATACAAACCAGAACCAGTTATGTTGACTTTGCAGCGTTATTAAAATGTATCGCACATTGATTTTAAAATAGGATTAAATTCGTTATATATTTCCTTTACAACCGGACGATCCTATCTTGAAGCTGGCACATTGTCCTCTTTATATTGTACCTTCACTTATGTCAGATTCTGTCAATTGTGTTACATTTGTACAGTTAACACCCTCTACATTTTCCACAGCCTATAGAACATTCAAGTCCATGCTTCCTACATGTACAACGTTTAGTGTCACAATTCGCTTTACAACTGCATTTTATAATTTTTAATAGGAGCTGATGGTAAATGTGTCTTAACTGGTAATAAGCTATTGCCTACAACTGACCATCCCCACTCTTGTGGTAACATTTTGACATTTGAGTCGATCCATGTTTGTACTTGAAAATAGACCCTCATGCTGTGGTATTGTGCGGCTGCGGATGTAGGAGGAAGTGTATGTACCTGTACGTGTGTTGTGCTTGAAACTACTTTTCGTGCAAAATGTCTGAAGCGCAATAAATCCAATCCCTCAATTGGAACCCCACCATACAGACATATAAGTGCTTGTTCTCCGGTTTTTTTGTATTTCAACTCTTGTTTTACCCTGATTGCAAAACACTTCTACCTTAAATGTTGGTCATATCCTAGTTTTTTAAGTGCTTCCCCTTTTCCAATCCCATAAATGCGAGATGTTGTGTCGCAACCCGTCAAAGCATGAACGAACGGCATATAGCGGACAGGTGTTTGTTCCCAGTATCATCTTCGTTTGCCGAATGTCCCAAATTCTTACCACTTTGTACCTAGTCTGTTTCCCTTCTGACTTGAAAAATATATTACAGTTCTGAGTATTAGCGTGATAGCATAGCAATATGAGAAAATCCGTGTCTTCACCGATCACCATTGTTTCACGAGTTTCTGCACAAGCAACTGCAGTCTTGACTATTAAAAGATCCGCATCGCCTTCAGCATATACAATTTCCATCCCCTATTTTCAAGTCGACACCTGAGCATGTGAATAAAACGTTGTTTGTTTTCAGAGTTCGTTAAAATTGTTCTTTTTTTCCTTTGAATTGTTTATTGTCTTTGGAGTTAACATTCGAACCGAAAACTCCATGCGTTCGCCGCATATGGACTACATCCTTTGTTGATGGTCCTGACTGGTAGCCATCAAACACAATTACCGGATCTACATACTTTTTAGATATATAATCTACATACACATTACAGATATCTGCGAAATCTGTGCCTTGTTACCATGGCATGCGCTGTAATAATGATCCTCTATCTAACACATGTTGAACATTCTCAGTAATAGACTCTTGTCTTCCACAGTCTCCTTAAGTCCAAATCGCATCAGCTAATGCTGGTTTATGTGGTTGCCTTAGAAAACCTGATGGATCAAACAGTGCAGATGGAATACTACAAAGTTCATATCCAAAGATGTGTGACATGTCTTCTTCCGATCTAGTTGCAGCTGTTGTAAGACGTTGAAAACATAGCTGGGGGTCAACCTGAATTGACTCGCCATCTAATTTTACTGCAGGCGTTGTAGTAAGTGTCACTGCTTGCTGGGATCTTTTGAAAGAATACTCCATCACATTTTTACCAACCATTCTTTGTAAGACTTTCGATCCGATTTCTTTTGCATTGTAAAGATTTACAGATGAATCAGACGCCACGCCAGTTTCAATATTGCGTAATGAGGGGTCTTGGATAAACGGATTTCTTTCTAGTAGAAAAGATAGGAGTACGTTTGTGTCTTTGTAGTCCCTTTCCTTCCTGGCTTGGCCACACTGTTTGTGTTTACTACTTGTGTAATAAACAGTTAATTTTTAATTAAAAGTAGTGTTAATTAATTAAATTATTTTAAAAACAAGCATTGAATAAGTGTTTGCTTTATAGTTACGTACCGTATTGACTGGTATCAACAACAACAACACTCATACAATAGACTTATTATTTAGACTCGCTACATATATTAACACGTTTTATATCCGGGGTTTCCACCTACAAATAAGACTGTTTATATAGATGTGTTAACAAAAAATTCATATAATATATTGTTAAACATAAGGATACACAAGAATAATACCAACGTGAGCAAAATGCTGTTGTTTTATATATATTTTTTTGTAATTTTTATTATTCTTCCAAATTATGGCACGAATTGACTTCCGTAGTTGTGAAAATCGACCAAGTCACACCACTGATTTTCTTTTTCTTTTTTAAATTCTTTTGTAAGACATTATAATGAAGCTTATATTAGAAATGTATCGTTATTTATCAAAAACAATAACTTTCCATCAATTTATACATATAAATACGCATTATTTTTACATGTTTGCCATCCGCGAAAACGTATTGTATTTTTGTATTTTTTTATTTAGGGCAAAGCTCACAAGGCCTATCTGCCGCCGAGAAAACGCATGACACAATCTGATTCATCGTCTGTTTCCATAACTTACGGACGTTTTAGCATTATAAATCAACTAGAATATACGTTTTGCACATATAATAAACAATACAATGCAAAAAATTTACCATGTCCAGTTTATTTTCTTCTCACCACTTCAACAAGGTGTATCATCGGTCACTAACAATTTTTTTAGAAAAAGCATACATTATACGGTGGCTTATATGTAGCACTTATGAAATGGCAAAATCTACTTTTTAAAAACGTTTTTCTTTTTGTAATTTCGATTTTTCTAACCTTTTGATATGTTTTTCATGAAATATAGTTTTACATTTTTCTTGCAAAACAATTCTGTTGCAATTAGTTTGATGTTGAAATGTAGACTGACTGGACTATCACAGTGTTTTACACTTTGGCGTCATTTTTTAGAGAGTTCCTTTGATCTGGATTATAAATGTATACAAAAATAGATAAACATATCTACAGACATAGGTTACAAGTGTATACTTTGTGGTAAATATTTTTAAGATGTACAATCATGTGATCATCATCGCCATGTAAATCATTTTGATGAGTGTCCATTTTATTTTGTTTATTCTTGTTTTATTCATGCAATAGTATGATTGAACATTTAAATATTCCCCAATTACTAATTCACCGGGCCATTGATATTATACAAAATAAACATAATATATTTCAAAGGAGGATTAGTACTGAAGATAGTAAAGAAGAAGACTATTCTTCGTCTGAAGAATACGATTTTGTTCAAACATATGAAATTTAAAGGTCATTTTCAGGACCATCACTTCCTGAGAAAGAGAAAGCTATGGTCGCACATATTATTAGAAACTGATATTCATGAGGTGTAATTTATCATAAAAGACTAAGCTAGACACATATAGGTCAGTATTTTATAAACTAAGATCTTTTTGTAAATAGCATATTAGTGTATATTGAAGCTTTGTTAGCAAAAGTTTCAGGATGTGTTATATTTAAGACTGAGATTTGACTTACATATATTAAAGTAGCAAGCATATTAGACTATGATTAAAAGTGTTTTTTATATTAAAGTTGATTTTTAGAAAATCACAGAACAATGATTGGCTTAATTTTAAAGTGAAAAGATAAGTTATGTTACTGTAACAGTTTCAAAATCTATGTGAGGAAATATCTGCTTTGAAGTAGTCGATAAACTAGTTTTTCTAAGCCTACTAACTGAAATCTTACCTGACTAGTTTGCATTGAATCATGATCAATCATTTATTCATTTATGTAGTTACATGTCTTTAGTACAATGTATCATGTTAATTCAGTTTGCTTTGCACATATTGTTACACAAATAAAAAATATAAACTCTAACTAAATTAGTAATAGGAACATAATATAAACAAATTTGTATGAAAGTTAATCATGTATTTTATAAGCTAAGATGTTTCAGTATGAGTAACGACAGTTTATTTAGAAACGTGAATAATTAGCTTATGGAATCTAATTGAAAAGAAAGTATGCAATAATTATATGTTAACTGAAATGTCTCGTCAAATATTTCAAATTTTGTACAACAGTAATACGTGACCGCGTGACAACCTTTTTATATCATAACAAACAGTTGTTTTGACAACAGTGCCCACCCCGTTTGTATGTGTGCCCATGTGACGATCTTTGTATTTCCTAACAAACAGAGGTCTTGACGTCAGACAGAGATTTATCTCAATGTCTATTGAAGAAGAAATTTTAATTGTATAGAACTTCAATTGAATGGTAAGTGTTTCTATTTTAAATAGATTCGATAATAGTAAGGTTACACAGTAAGTCATTCATTTATTATATTTAGTTGTAGCAAAATGATAAGAATGAAATCATACTTTAAATGAATAATTTAAGAATGGACTTTCACCAAGCATTATAACATGTGTTATACGTGAAATTATACTTATGATATGAAACTTATGTTATATTGGTTATTAGATAAGTGTCTTTTCAGGATAATAAAAGTATGTAAAGTAAATGATTGGTTATAATAACTGCCTCATTCAAATAATGGATAATATATATGAACTGATGTATGTTATTATAGTTGTCTCGTTGACTTGTGAAAGTGAAACAGCAGGTGTGTTTAAATCCTATGGAACATTGTCTGCTTAAAGTAACATACACTTAGTAATGATAACATCTTCAGCCCATAGAAACAATGCAAAAGTACGTATGTGATATGACACACATTTTGTCAAGAGCAATATAAATCATAATTATATAAGTAGCATAAAGACAAATTAGTGAAAATGCATGATAGTTAAATAAGCGTCCTTTCATGTCAATAACTGTAAAGAAAGTATGATTAAATATAGAAACTAAAACTATAGTTCAATATGTTAAATCATAAAAACACAATTGGCTCTCTTGTTCAGTATTTATAAAAACATTTTCAGCAGTACATTAAATACGATACTAACGCTATCCAGCTCTAGAAACAGCAAAATGTATGATTAAATATATAACTAATAAATTGTGAAGTGTTTTACACATAAAATGTCTGTAGTACTTTTAAAACATAATTAAATCTAGCCATTGATGATATATTGAGACATCTATATTTTTATGTAGATCAGGTTGCAAAATCTTTATTGTGAAAATAATAAAATGTTGAAAAGAAATATTGTGTCAAAAACTGTTATATAAAATCAATATTAGATTAGCATGTAGTTAAATATAGACGTTCATCACATGTTGACACAATGCTTTCATCAACCTCTGCCTATACAAACACTATCCTCAGTAACATTGCCTACCTTTGTAAATCCCATGTAATACAAAAAACCTGTATGCAGCCCTGCAGAACTGTCAGCCTTTGCAAGTTGCATTTAATGCTTTACTTAGAAAGCAAAACTGTAAACACAGAGCTATAAAATTATATTAAATTATTAGTTTTAAGACTTTGTTACCATAATGTCATGTTGATCTACATCATACCAATACACCCTTTGGTTCCAACTCAAGGAGCTAGGAAGTTATTGTCTCTGGTGACATCATTGTCTCTACCCCTCCCCTGAGGTCGAAACGCTTGTTTCGCCCTCTGACGGCGTGCCGAGCAAATGGGGGATAACTACTAAGATTAAGTAAATTAAATTTGAAAACTATAAGATGAAAAAAAGTATTTCTATTCATGAAAATCACCTTGCACTCGAATTGACTAATTAAAAGCTGGCAACTGCAGAGATAAATTTCTCTGGAAATACTTTTTTACAAAATCTGTTTTTTGGTATAAAACAGCATTGTAATGTTTACTAAAAGAATGTAAATTTCGTTACATCACATGTACTACAATAAAAGTTATGTATAATTTCATGGTTACATGGTATTTACAAGATGGGTCAAAATGGCCGTGCCCGTGTAAAGAAAGTTCTTACAATCGAAGTTGATTGATGAAATGTCCTTGCTCTATTATTCACAAGTACAGAAAAATATTTTCAAAAATGGAAGTAAATGTAATAATGGCCAATATCAATCCTTCAAAAACAATGCAAACAAGGATAGAGTAAACTAGCTTAATTTGCCAGACTTAGTTTTCAAAGTTCGTGACTTTTCTAAGAGACATTAATACGAATTCTCCACTATATCAGTTTACTATAGCTTGTTTATACCTAAAAACTGTGCTAGTAAAGGGAGAGCATGTCGTTTCATCAACATTTTGTCTGTTGTACACTTTAGTTTAATATTATAGCTCATCAGAACGACTGGAGTTTTGTTTGTTTGTTTTGTGTTAAGCAAAGAGCTACAAATGGGCTATCTGGGCCGTGCCCACCACGAGAATCAAAACCTGTTTTTTGTATTATAAACGTTTAGACTTAGAACAGCTAAATTACAGTATGCATAGTTCTATTTCAAACATAGTACTTTATAACTGATCTTTCACAACATATCTTTATTTTGCTGCTTGTATCTATTTACATTGTACGTTTAAGAGAGTTACATTAAATATGGTTAAACTATCGCTCTGCTCTGGTTATCAATTATGTATATATCTTCCTTTTTCCATATAACAAAAATATTTTATTTTCCGAAGTACATGTGACCATATTCATCATGTTTCTTCATTCGGCCGTTCCTTCCAAATCTCATGTGCCCATAGTCGTCAAACTGCCGTTTAATAGTATCCATGTCGCTCAATTCCTCGCCTTCAAAATCTGTGATCCCTACGTCTGGTACAGTATCATTCTCATCGTTTTCCATTTCGGTGGCACTGCCTGTTTGTTCAATGTTAGTTAGTGCTTGCTTGCTTGTTAGAGGTCGATTAAGTAATGTGTAACTTCCAATATGGTTTTTCAAATAAGGCATGGCCATTCTATCAAAATGTTGGAAGTTAGAACTCATCCCTACAGGTGTAGCTATGGATGATGTCATCAGCACCAACATAACTGCACACAAGGCTAATGAAGTTATTTTATTCATTCCAAGTTAGTTTTCCTGTAAAATAATATTAAGAAATTCAGAACAATTAGTGTTTTTCTGGAGTTATGCACAAAACATTTCGCAAAAAACTCCTTTCTTGTAATACATATTTGCACGTAAATTATAATTTCTATAAGTTGTCAAACATGTACTTTTTAGCTTTAAAAATGTTTTAATTGAAAAAATATGCAGTTTATCACAACATATCCTAAATATAAAACCATTTCTAAGTCTCTTTTTGAACAAAAAGAAAAATGTTTTGCGGAATGATTGAGACGAGGAGTTAGTATTACTAATGGTATAGCCCCCCCCCCCCCAGTAGCACAGCGGTATGTCTGCCAACTTACAACGCTAGAATCCGGGTTTCGATACCCGTGGTGGTCAGAGCACAGATCGCCCATTGTGTAGCTTTATGCTTAATTACAAACAAACAAACAAAACTAATGGTATAATTATTCGGACTATTATTCTAGTCTTTATTGGGTGTATTATTATTTTCACAACGTTTCGACCAGTGAATTCTCCGGCCGCAAATAATAAATATACATAATAAAGACGAGAATAATAGTCCAAATAAGTATACCTTCAGTAAAAAATGTTAATGCAAGCTATAAGGCAAAGAGTTCCCGTTTTATCCCGTTTCTTTCTCAATTTCAATAAATATCTGAAAGAATTTAGTGACGTATCTCTGTTGACACCATCTTTGAGTTTTTTATGAAATCAAATTACTGATAGTTTGTTTGTTTGGAATTAAGCACAAAGCTACACAATGGGCTATCTGTGCTCTGCCCACCACGGATATCGAAACTCGGTTTCTAGCTTTGTAAGTCCGCAGACGTATCGCTCTGCCACTGGGGGGCGACTGATAGTTAAGGTGTCGGGATGCGGCTTGAACATTCCAGGACTCAGTACGTGATGCAGTTTAACATGCTCTACACTTTCGTATGTCATAAAATTTACAGTAAATCACGTTATTTCACTAAAGAGCCAAACAAAGCCTTTGTGGTGTTATGATTGCTGGCCAGCTTTCTTCCTTGAGGTCAGTAGTTCAAAATTGCTGAACCCTAAGAGTCTCTGGTTTGACCATTTAGTCCACGAGTGAATATGCCGTTCAAATAAAAAATCCAATTCCAAAATCTGTAAAACAAAAGGCTTCAAAAGATACAGTATAGATTACATGAATAGAGTGATTTAACTTTTTACAATAGCAAGCTATCATCTAACATTGCTAACAAATGTGTGTTGCGGCAATCACACTGCAATTTAAAAATCATGCAATAGAACGTAATTTGATAGAAATTCTTAGTAATGCTGACGTTTGATAGTAGCCCTAGAATGTAGCAGTAAGCATTCAAAACTATTTAGCACAGAACTAAAGCATACACTGAGAATAACTAGTTTGTATTAAAAATATACCTAAAACATCCAAAGTTTGATTACTGAACGCAGCAAAACCATCAGAAATAACTTTACTAAAATTTTCTAAATTAATATATTCATTAATTTAACATACCATCCAAAGAAATGCTAACTTAAATTATTTTTCTTTATTACAGCAACATAAATTTAGTAACATAAGTATGTAAATTATCAAAGTCATAATTTGTTAAAACTCCGTTATATGCCAGTTAGAGGTGGTAGATGTTGCAGACTGAGTGCCTTTCCTCTAATTCCATGGTTCAAAATAAAACGCTGTTATGCCTAAAGCAATGGACCTCTGACCTGACAGTTTAGTCCATAAGGTGTCTTTCAGATGAAGAAACAAATATACAACTGTTTGCATTATAAACACTTATAATATATACATATATTACCATCATTCAAAACATAATCAGTTCGCAGTACTTTCTTCTGAATATAATGTGCCGAAAATTGAAAGTTATTACGCTCAGAGCTTAATAGAACTCCAAAACATTACACTTTTCTCTAAACATCAAATTTTTGCACAAAACTTTATGTGACCTTTTAAACATCTCACTTTCTTCAGAACATAAAACATTACAAGTCTCTCTAAACAACAGACTCTATCAGAATACCAAAACACTAAATAACAGGCTTTCGTCAACCACCAGGGCTTTATAAGTTTCTCTATATATGAGGCTTTCCCAAGACACCAAAATATTATATATTCCTCTAAACACCAGACTTTCTGAGAACACCAAAATATTATATATTCCTCTAAACACCAGACTTTCTGAGAACACCAAAATATTATATATTCCTCTAAACACCAGACTTTCTGAGAACACCGAAATATTATATATTCCTCTAAACACCAGACTTTCTGAGAACACCAAAATATTATATATTCCTCTAAACACCAGACTTTCTGAGAACACCAAAATATTATTGCTTTCTCTAAACATCAGGCTTTTGTAAAACATTGAAATATTGTTATACTAACTAACAGCCCCTAGCAGTTCTCATATCTGTTACACAAATAACAATGAGAAACGTAAGTTTTATTTTAGCTTACTCCAGTGAAAATAAAGTCATTCATGTCAGAGATTGCCCTTCTCTTTTAAGAACCGTGATTATCAACTACTTTTTTAACTGTTAACAAAAACGTCAGGTTAAAATTCTGTCTACTTCTAAAGAGAACAAAATAGATTTTTTCTGAAAATTTTGAATCTTTTGCTCGCTTTCTCTTTTTGCGAATAGTCGTTGTCTTTTCAAGGTCTATTAATTAAAACCATTTATCCTGGCATAATCTGTACAGTCATGATCTGTACAGCTGTTCTCATTAAAGTGCCAGAAGTCATATAATGCTTGGAGGCAGCTTGAATGGGTAATGAAGAAAAACTTTAATATAAGTTTAAAATAACAGCAAATAAAGAACGTTTCGACAAGGTTCTGTCATCATCAGAAGTCAGTATAGCTTCAGGCAAATATTAAAAAATAAACGAAACCAAAACCATCTTTTATAGATTTTGTCTCTCATTTTATATAATTAGCAGCGGATTATTTCTGAAAGTGAGCTAAAACACAAAAAGGGTTATCAGCATCATTAGACATGTCATCCTAAAATGATATCCTAACAAAATGGTTCATGTTTTGTACGGACATGGTCTTTAGATCATAAAGTTTGATAACTACAGTATATAGTTTTCCTGTAAACCTGATAAAGTTTTTTTTTGTATTTTTAGCTTTTTTCGTGCGTAAGTTCAAGACCAACATAACG